GTGTACTCGGAAGGCGTACTATCTAGCCGATGAAATATATCCACCGTGATCCACTTTTGTCATGATAGCTCCAAATCTATACACAAAGAAAGAAAAACACTTTGCAACAAAGCAAGAGGGGTACAAGAAGGATGTGGAAAGGTGTTTTGGTATACACCAAGCTCGTTGGGCAATCATTAGAGGGTATGCTTGATTGTGGATTGATGGGGCACTTCGAATAATCAAAGACGTGCATCATCCTCCACAACATGATTGTGGAAGGTGAGTATAATTACGACAAAGAAGATTTGGACGAAGAAATGATGAACAATTCAAACACTAGAATTTATCAAGCCATGACAACATTGAAGAACCTGCCCAACACGATCCATTAGAACGGGATAAACATTAGCACAATGTGGTCATTTAGCATTACCACACCATAAATTCAACTTACATCCACAAAGAGCGTCAACGTGACTTGATTGAGAACATGTTGGGCGTTGAAACTTGCTCAAAAAATGAAGTTCATTCTCATGCCTAAACGTGAAATTTGCAGTGTGTTTAATTTCCAAGTATGTTGAACTTTGTAAGTTTTTTTTAGTAATTTTATAGAGTTGGATTAATCCTGACCGTTGAATATTTCAATTTTTTGAAATCAACCCGCCACAAAGCACCACGTGGCGCAACACCATAATTTTCATTTTTTTTTTTTTTTTACCGTTGGAAATCCACCGGTCTTGATCAATAGATTGTTGGAAATCCAACAGCTGTGGCTATCCTAAATTAGAGTTGTTTGGCTCGACATCCTTTATGCGGGCAGGGTAAGCCCCCCTTATCTGCTGGTTTCATGCCTTCTCCACGTGAGTGCAAGCCCCAGCAATAATTGGCAGGACAACCAATAGAGCTGTAAATGTTGTAAATTTGTGTGGTTGGTAATGTATCTTTATCTGGTGCCCTCTTTGTAGGGTAACCTGTGACAAAAAAAAAACCACTGGAGCTGATTTCAGAAGCCCAATTGGCAGGGCAATCCTACCACTAGTGGAAATGCTCTTATGTATGTCGTCTTATTCGTTCTTACACACTTTTATATGCATATTATGCAATTGGGGCTTGTTTACAATGAATCTTCCTTTTTAACTCATAATTTAAAACTTGAGCAGGTCGAACGTATATAGTTGAATATCTATGATTCAATGAATATACCCAGGAGAAAATCTATCCACAAACAAGTCAGATATAGTACCATCTAGAAAATGATTTATACAAACACATCCACATCCTCTTGGATCAATAGGAATTTCATATCTTTCATTTTTTATCATCATATGAAGCTTGAAAGAGGTTTGGTCGGAGATTTTGGGCATTTTGTCACTTCATTTGGGCCTTTAACCAACCCATTATTAATTTTGGACCCAGCTGGTTTGACCCGTTTTAAAGTCGGCCCATTTGAGCCTTTTGAGGGGCTTTATAAATCCGAGCAAAGCAAATTAGGGTTTCTTCCATTGCTAGAGAAGAAGAAAGTAGCAGCCGCTTCTGCCCTTCACAGCCAGTGACCTTCCAATCCACAACAATGGTATCTCTCTCTCTACACATCCACCGTTTGTTTTCTCAGAAATTTGTTTGTCGTTTCAGTTTTGTGGGAAAATGTTGTGTTAATATAGGCTTGTATTTTTGTGGAATTAAACGATAAAATTAGTGGGGGTTTTTTGATCCGCGTAGGGAAAGTTACCCAAGATCTCTGTTATGGCTTGTGATTTTCAGAAATCATTTTCTGAGAATTTGATTGGATTTGATATTTATGTCCGCTGTGTTTTGTGGTTCAGACTAAGAGGACGAAGAAGGCCGGTATCGTTGGGAAATACGGTAAGTGCCATTTAGGGTTTAGTCAGCTCTCAATTCTTTTATTGTAATGGAATCTGTTGTATGTTTTGATTCAAGCTGTGATGTATGAAATGAATTGCTTGTCTAATGGTCATATTATTAGCGTGAAATTTGTTGGCTGTAGTAGTTTTAACGTTGTTGAGATGCGGTTATGTTGCGATTGTATGCCTGAATATTTGATTCTAGTTATAGTTACATCAAACTAGGTTGTTGTTGTGTAAAACTGTATTTGGGATTAGGAATTGCACCCTCTGCTTTTCTTGTTCCTTTTCTTTTTTAGTTTCTTTCCCCTGACTGTATAATTGATTTTTTTGTGACAGTTATGCACAACATTGCAACATTCAGATTTGTTTAGATATAACTTAATACGTTTTGCATTTGTGAAGATTTGATCTTCTTCGGCATTGAAGCGTTTATGATTCTGTTGTCTACTGCTTTATTACAGGAACCCGTTACGGTGCTAGTCTGCGTAAGCAGATTAAGAAAATGGAAGTCAGTCAGCACAGCAAGTATTTCTGTGAATTCTGTGGCAAGGTATAGTATGGTTGTATTTTTTTAAACTAGCCTTGTCTCTCTTCCCTGTGAAAAGATGATTAAAATTTTCATTTCCATGTAGTATGCTGTGAAGAGAAAGGCTGTTGGAATCTGGGGATGCAAGGACTGTGGAAAAGTGAAGGCAGGCGGTGCCTACACCTTGAAGTAAGAATCCACTTTCACTGCTTTCTTATTTTCCTTCAATTTTGTGATCACGTAATGAACTGAATGATCATTCCCTTTTTTTTTTTTTTTTTTTTTTTTTTTTTTTGTTTGGTGTTTTTAACAGCACTGCTAGTGCTGTGACGGTTAGGAGCACCATTAGGAGGCTGAGGGAGCAAACCGAGAGTTAAGCTGCTGTCGGTGGCCTCTACTACTCTATGAGCGTCTTGCAGCCATGGATATCTCAAACAGTTTTGGGGATGGTTCTCCTTTTGTTTGCTTATATTATTTTGAAGAACTCGTTAGATGAAATGTTGACTCTTTGTAGTATGTTTAATCTGAGATCTTAGCTTCCACCTTTGAATTCGGAGTGCAGTTTAATAGTTTCGGGAATTCTATTCAATACTGCTAGTTACGCTTGCTCCTTCGCTGAGTTAACGTTGCATAAATTTTATTTCTGTTTTCTTTCATACTTTTTGAGTCAGCAGTCGATGCTTTCACTTTCATCGGATCAGTCTTTGAATCGAACTCGGAAAGATCACGCGTCTGAACGGCACCAAAGTTGCAACGGCGAACTTGTACTGCCCTTGATAATTTGCGGTTAAGCAGATAATTAGGGTTTCCGGTTGAGATGTTGAGGACAAGGTTGTAGAAGAGAGTATTAGAGTGGTTGGTGGCTGTGTAATTGAATTGGCTGAGAGTCACGGTGAATACTGTTTAGTTTTAGGGTAAATTACATTTTCATACCTCAGGTTTGGGGTTTATTTCAATTCTTTACAACATTTTCAAAACATTTCACTTAAGTACTATTTTATTTTAAAATAATACATTCGTTACATTTTCTATCCATGGATCCGTTCTCTCCCCTCGGGACCCCGTGATCCACCTCCCTTTCCTTTCACAAAGACCTAAACTCGGGTGGTTTTATGGTAGATTCATCTTGGGGAGTTTGAGATGGGGATGAGTTTGGGATGACCTAAACTCGGGTGGTTTTATGGTAGATTCATCTTGGGGAGTTTGAGATGGGGATGAGTTTGGGATGGTTTTGTGGTAGATCCACCTAATCTCGGGTGGGATTTTTAAGGGTGGGTGATGGGGGATGGGAGAGAGGGGTGGTTGGGGTGGGATTTTGGGGTGGGTGATGATGGATGGGAGAAGGGGGCAGGTCGGGGATGGGTTTTTTTATTTTTTAATTTTTTTAATTTTAATTTTAAATTCAGGTTTAAAAAAAAAATTTAATTATTTTTTTTACCACGTGGCACACATCTGGTAGCCACATGGCATATATATGACAACCACGTCAGCACTTAACGGATCCATGGCCATAGATGGAAAATATAATAGATGTATTATTTTGAAATAAAATAGTACTTAAGGTATGAAAGTGAAATGTTTTGAAAATGTTGTAAGAAATTAAAATAGGCCCCAAACCTGAGGTTTGAAAATGTAATTTACCCTTATTTTTATCACAAAAGCTATGCCTTCAGTCAGTTTCAACCGACATCGTGTAAGTTAGCTTGACAAGGACAAGGGGTTTAATGACACAACATATTTAGCTTGGGTTTTGCTTCTTTTTATATACGGGAGATGTGATGAATTCAATAATGTAACGCTATTTAAAGACAAACTTACACATAAGATTGTAACGCTATTTAAAGACAAACTTACACATAAGATTGTAACGCTATTTAAAGACAAACTTACACATAAAATTGTATTATTAGATGGGACGTTATGTGGCGGTCAACTTGTTCCATGTATATCCTCTCATGCTCACCCCTGCCCACCCCATATCTTCCTCTCTCATGCTCCCTCAGAGCCCTAATCTCTTTTTCCGTCTTTAATCTTCCCATATCTTCCTATGGCATCGGATTGTTATGAAACCATTAACCGGAAAGGGATCCTCTCTGGATCTCTTCCACCAATCCTCCCCATCAACTAATCCGCATCCTTAAAATTTGATCCAACAACTAAAAACAAGGGTCCACCTTAAAAGTTATAAAACTTCAGCCATTGGATCAAATTTTAAGGGTCCGAAAAACCCCAGTACCAATTGTCGACTTCTAATCCTCTCAAAATGAAAAAACTCGATCATCTCTGCCTTCAATATACATGAATAGTGGGTTATCCACTCAAATTTAATCCTCTAACCGGAGTGGACTCGAAAACTCACAATTCAATCCATCAAGCGGATGCAGATTGACCTTGCCTTGTTAGATTATAATTTATGAACACCCTAGAGTAAGGGAACACCAATTCTTGGCAGGCCAAGTCCATGAATTTAACCACATTATCCAGTTGACAATCCAACAATGTTCATACGTAAATACGATGCTGTATTTATTTTCTTTCTTTTGGCCGTATTTTGTACTTATACTCGAATATAGATTCGTTATAAAATTTATGGCTCGAGTTCAGATGTGCTTTATAGGGTTCCAGTCTTCATCCAGGCAAAATTACATATAACAATAACCAGTAACGTTTACAGTAGGAAGCAAAAAATGTGAAATCAAAAACCTTGGTTTATAACTTGCACACTCTTACTCATATGTACGTATTGTTGAGAGGCTAGAACCAGAAGAAAAAAAAGGGGGAAAACCTGCCTCTGCCTGCTCCTCAATCAGCCATACATACTCGACTGAATGTGGTTCCAGGCACGTACCTCGCATTCCCCATCAAAATAATTGCAGAGCAAAGACACAAAATAGAAAAGACGAAAAACAAAATACCTATTTACGTGGTAGTTGTTTTGCTTCTGTGGCTTTGCCACACAGGCATGATGTTGATGCTAATGATGATTGGTAGGTGCATTAGGCGAATGTGGGTAGTGCCACTGCTGTCATTGTTGTAATGGGTGTAATTGTTTTTGCACGGCCTTTACAGCTGCAACTCGTGCAGCAATCGCTGCTTTATTAGCTATTGCTACAGCTCGGTTCACCCTTTCATCTACTTTGGCCACTTCATATGCTCTCTCAGCAGCTCTTTGTGCTTCCTGCACTTAAAATGGTATTCAGTAAGAAAACTCATATAGCAGTGGTAACTGGTAAGTGCTTGTTCAAATCAAATAATTAAGGTTTTGCATTCAGTCTTCACATAAATCAAGAGAGTATTTCTATTGCGGAATTGTCATTTTAGAGGAAGACCTCAGGTACCATAAAGTCAAAAGAAAAAAAGCCGGCCTAACTCTAATGATTGATAACTTCTGCAGTGGACGTAAGTGGAATTCATCCATACACAAACTTTCAACAAATTACAACAAAAATGGTATCATGAGGCTCCCCACAAACCAGATGGCAACAAATACTACAGTCTCATAAAACCAAAATCAATTGATGTAGTCTCCAAGTGTGTAATAATTCATGGTTTATGTCAAAAAATAAAGTATTCCAGTTTTTCGGAACGATATTTACCTAATATAGTATGTGAGTAAACTTGAATTGATAATTAAGTCAACAATATAAAATACAAAAAAAGTTACGCAAATCAAAACGATATTTACCTACTATCTACCGTTGTAGACCATCACATTTACAGTAGAATTTATTCCAATGAAACACTGATACCACAAGGACATAAGGGACAATTACCTGGACTGCGTTAAGCACTTTGGCATGGTTGGCAGCATAAGAAGATCCAGGTTGGTTGTTTATATCTAGCACCCCATTTTGCCAATGACCAGATTGTGTTTCCCCATTTCTGAAAGTGTACATACCAAGTCCCTGCTTTCTTCCTTCATGCCAGGCTCCTTCATATCGATGCCCGTTCCCAAACCGATATACTCCAAAACCATGCATCCTATCAGCAAAATATTCCCCAGCATATGTGTCACCATTTCTGCGTTATCATATACAGCAAATCAGCCCTGTGCTTGCAAATTTAACTTTCACTTGCATATATCAGAGGAACAAGTTTTCTTAACATATGTTGGATAAACACAGATGCAAGCACCCACACACACGTATATGACAGTGGAAGAGGGGAAACTAGATCAGTTTTCCTTTTGAAATTAAGAAGATATAAGAACAGCAGTCAAAATCCAAGGTGTCTTGTTTATATTAAAATATAAAATAAATATTAGATTTACGAGACCCTGTAGAGAATGTGTCCAAGAATGCCTCACATAAGGTATGAGATGGTTCTGAACGCCATGATGCTGAAAAATTAGACCTTTTAACCTAAGTATTCTAATATGATGCTAGCCATAACCCACATTCGAACCTAATAACCTACAACCTTGATTTTTTTTGTTAATTATGCAAAGGAACAATGAAAAAACCAACTGAAGGCCTGACCGACTTGAAACAGAGCATCTATAAATTCTTCAATGAAAAACACAAATAACTAACTACAGAGGCAGAAATCAACAAGTTTCTAAACTTGGTGCAAAATGTATAACTATTCCATTAAGCACATAATACTTCAAACCTTATTTACACCTAACTAGCCCGAAAATTCCATACCACATCCTAAGTACTGTAAACAACCGAGCATCAATACCATACCACATAGAACAACAAGGCCACTAGACGAATCAGTGTTCAATTCCAAACATCAAAATCACATACAAGAACATAGAAAACAGAACACATATACATTCGCTTAACATATCTTAAGAAAGATGGTAAGTTTTACCTGAAATGATAATGACCAAGTCCATGTTTGACACCCCACTTAAACTCGCCAACATACCGGCTTCCATCCTCGCAAGTATGTATTCCACACCCATGACACTGCCCATTAGACCACTCTCCGGCATAAACATCACCAGTGAAGAACCTATACACCCCAATTCCATGCCTCAAGCCCTGCCTATACTGCCCACGATACCGGCTACCTCTGGCCCAAGTTTCCACACCATAACCATCATACTTCTCATCCACCCAATCACCTTCATACCTCCCACTCATATGATAGTAATAAACCCCACTTCCTGAACACTTCCCTCTATCAAATTCACCCTCATAAACATCCTTGTTACTATAAACCTGCACCCAAGACCCCGAATTCGGCTTTTTGTCCAACTTGGGCTTCGACCCAATTGACCAAAGAACAGGCTGAGCGGGCTTAGAGACGCGGGAAGACGAACAAAGCTTGATTGGCAAAGAGCGGGAAAGAAACAACCGAGTCGAAACAAAACGGGGAAGTGCAACGTTGAGAGAAATCAAAAGGGCTGCCGAGAAAGCGATCACAGGAGAGAAATCGAGAACGAAAGAGCGGCGGGAACTTGTGAAGAAGTAAAGGGAAGGCAAAAAGAAGAGGATAAGCAAGCGGCAGTGGACTCTGAGCAAATGCGCACAGCGGAAATGGCGGAAAAGCTTCAGGACCAGTGATCGTGTGGCGAAGGGAATGATTGCGAGTGAAGCGGAACACAGAAACGAATGCGAAGAAGAAAAGGAAGAAGAAGAAGAAGGGCGGAAATTGAAAGGAGTGTGGCTATGGCGGTGGAAGTGAATCTGGTGGTGGTGGAGAGAGGAGAGTGTGGGAGAGTGGGATAAACTGGAAGGTGTTTGGTTCATTGCAGGATTGTAAGAGATGGGTTCCTCATAGATTTTGAATTGGGTGTGATTTTGTTAGGATTGGGCTGCTGGGTTTGGTGATTTCTAGGTCTGGGTTGCTTGGAGATGATCAAGTTGGTGGTTTGGTTTGGTGATAACATGTGGGACTAATTGGGTATTTGATGATTGAGATTTGGGTCTGAATCTAAAAGTTCTTTTGAAATTGATGCGGAAGTGATTTCTCTCAGCTTCTGCTTTTCTGCTTTTCCTTCCTCTTCCGATCTGAGTTGAATTGCATTTACATACAGATATTCTTCTTCTTCCTCTCTCTTTCTCTCTCTCTCTCTCTCTCTCTCTAGAGCTTTCTCTCTCTTCTGTGATTATTTCTGGGTTTTGTGAGATTCAGAGGAAATGGTGGATATATCAGATGAGTCGCTGCTGTTTGTTGCTCTGCGGTGGTTTTCATGTCTGGTTTTCTGCAGAAGCCAAAACCGACCTGAGGTGGTTTTTCTTCTCTACTTTATAAAGCCCCTGCAATTTACGATATTTGCTGAAATGCCACCATCCTTTCTTGTATTTGAAGACACAAGTGGCAAACCTGGATTGGATAATACTGCTGACCGTAATTTTAACCTTGTGCTAGAAGATAATGCTGAGTGTATTATTTACAAGGGATGGTGAAGAATCTTCAATGCTATCGCCTCTCTTTTGATTGATGCTGTTTACTTGTTTAACTTGAATTGACATTTCATTTGATTGTGATGCATTCCGTTTTTAAGCTTTTTTCTTTTTAAAAAAAGATGATAGCATTGAATCGACAACCGATGCGTTTTCATAGAATTATGAATACATGAATTTTGAGGAAGTTTAGTTGATATTCATCAATTCAAGTGGATTTTGATTGAATTTGACATGATTTTGATTCAATTGATTAATAACCATTGTTATTGTCAATTGTTATTATTATTTATTGAAATGGTGATTATGACTAACAAAATTATCGTATGTAATGATAGAGGCTAGAATGATGGTGTAAATGACATGTCATGATTGTCGACAAGATAGTGATAGTAAAGCTAGTGTATTTGGTCGTAGTGATAGTAGTAGGGTGGTGGTAGCTAGTCATAGATTGCATTAATTATGATGGATGGAGTTAGAAGTGAGTAAAACAAAATCAATCAAAATGGCGAGATGACTTATATATACATATATATATATATATATATAAGGAGTTTAATGCTAATGTATTTTTCGTACCCATTAGTATAAATTTATCATTATATAGAAAAAAAAAAGAATAATTCTACATTGTAGCACGTACTAATAAAATGACTCTCCTATGATAGATGAAAATTTGTTGAGAGAACTTGAGACCAACTAGATTAAGCCAATAATTATCTTCCTTTGAATATATTCTTTAGTATAACAATATATTTTACTCTAAGAGAAGGGAGGATGATTAAACCACATAACAAGCAACCTAATTTGATACCAAAGATTCATCCGTTAATAGATAAGAAAGTAAGTCGTTGAAGTTAGCTCTCAAGTACTAAAAATGGAGTGCAGAAATCAAATTCCATCCTTCCAATTCAGAATCCATGTTGCAAATTGCACACCAAATACACATACCAACTTTTCATACTCGATTTAAAAGCAGAATTTATGGAAGAAGTTATTTTTTTTTTTATCAATTTTTTGTTAAAAGGAAAGCAACACATCAACTGCGTACAAAAAATAAAAGTAACCGAATGTATACGGTATACATAACATGATGCTATATTCCAATTTCCAACAAATAAGTGCGTACATAAATCCTACTGCTCACTTGACTCCACTCGACTCGACTCTAAAGTAATTAGACATGAATATTTAGAGGCTACACGATACATTTCTGATCACAAAAGAAAATTGTAGAGATGAACTGGTTATTCTCAGAGCGCCAACAACCCTGCTTGAGCTAATAAGAAACCGAAGAAAACAGGTCGCCGGAAGCCACTACCAAGAAAATTATTAATACTAAAGCCAAACTGAACACGTTCTACAGAAACTCACCAAGACACAGCTAAAATTGAAAATGAAGCTTGTGAGTGGCCGCAAAGTTGATTGTAAGTGGATCCGAGGACACATAAAAAGGGTATCTATATTCTGACAACTTGGGGAAGTAACTCCACCTGCACTCAAGAACATTACTGACAGAGGGGAGTAAGTCTCACATGAACTCCTGCCCTGGCTGGAGCTTGAAATTTCAGCATCATGGCTTGTGAAGCTTGAATCCGAACACTCTAGGAACATAACTCTGTGATGCTTTCTGTGGCTTCAGGTGCCCGTATGTCATCAAGAACAGGTGAGGGAATGTACTTCCGAAATAGGCTCCATCAATGTCTATATAGCGTTAAGTCACTCAGAAATCAATGCAAGCATAAGTAGTGAGCATTGTGTCCGACCATCAAAATGAACCAAATGCCCACAATGATGTTATAGATCACAAAACACAAGGCAGGATATTGATAAGCGCAAGGTGCGAACAAAGTATGCAGTAAATTCATGTTTCTTAACAAAATTCCAGAATCAAATAGTATATTGCACTTGAAATTGACTACATTAAACAGCACTATCAGCAAGAAACTAACAAATATTCCCAGACAGAAAATCAAGCTGTTCAAGTTAGTACTGATGCTTAACTATATATAAAGGAAGCAGCCTACAACCCAACCCCACAACATGTAATCCTCTTCAAACAGACACCCATAACAACTATAGATGCAAGTGAATTAGAAGAAAAATAATAATTAATTGATGCATTTCATCTAACAAAGGTCTAACAAATGAAACGTAAGAAACATGGTTTCAACCTACTTTCCACATAACTTACAGTAAAATGAACTAATGATTCTTCTCATGGACAAAACCTACAAATCGAATTTAAATTGAAGAAACCCCCTGCTCAATCTAAAGTCTAAACAATTTATTAATGCTTAGATTCTGGACATATAAAAACTAACTAATGCAAGGAATAAACAACAAATATATGATGAGACATGAAAGAAGATTTTGTGCACAGCATCTTAACAAACCAGCTACTTGCTTATATGCAGCTAGCAATTGTAAATATAGGTTCGATAATATAAAGGATACTACCTTGATACTTCGATCGAGGGTAGTAAATATCTTCACACTTGGGGCAGTATATTTTTACAGTGCTTGACCGTGGGATATCTGACTGGCCAACTGGGAGGCAGGGTTGTCCGCAGCAGAAAACTCTTGGGCATCTCCCAAAATCATAGTTCTTGTACTTGTCTAGCTGTAGATCCAATAGCACAATTCTACCAAGTTACCAAATTCTACAGTCCAGAATCAATGAAACTGTCAAACAGACAATCAATAATAGAAACTTACCATGGCAGCCAAGCCTTTGCTTGTCAATATATATCGAACATGAATAAGACCGTAAAGCATCTCTGCTGCTGATTCAATCAATTCATTTTGTTCTTCTGTGAACATATCACCTGCCCAAAGTATATATCAAAATAGGAAAACAACCTTATCGGTAATCAAGGAACAGAAATATGTCTTTACATTTTAAAACTGGGTTATCTATTTATTATCAAAATATTTCTCACTACATTCTTTTCTCAAAAATTAACCAATGGAATCTTAACCTCTTCTATAAGTATTCTTTCCAACCTTTAACAAGTAAGAATTATATATCTCAGTGGCCACTGGCAACCAGCGGCATTGCCAGTGACCACAAAAACACCATGGTTAGCAATGATTGGGGGAGAGGGGTAGTGGGAAAGGGAAGGGAAGGCGGCAAGAGTTTTTTTTTTCCCGTTTTAACAGGAGGGTAAAATTGAGTTTAACATTTTTTTAAATCAGGGTTTTTAAGAGTACCTTTGTTGGATCATAAAAAATCATAATACTAAGCTGGGGAAATACACAAAAGCAGATATTAATATCTTAAAGTCCACAGAAATATTTCTAACAAAAATAAAGTTTAATCATATAGCTGCATGGAAGAGTACACATAATTGTACATAGTTGTCTAACAGAAATAAAGTTTAATGTTAAACACCATGGTTGTCCATCACACGAGATAATAAACCAAGACATAAACTTACCATGAGAAGATTCAACATCCAAAATTAAATCAAGTGCATAATCATAGTATGGCACTTGGCTGCTTAGCCCGCAGAGGTTAAAATCATCTTGTATGTAATCATCATCCACTTCACAGAAAAATTCATTTCCTCGCAAATTGCAAAACCATGAAATCCAAGATGTGTCATCCCCATCGGAACCACTAACATCTGACTCTTCACTGTCTGTCTCAGATTCTTCTACAATCAATTTAGATACATTACAATTAGTAAACTTACAGAACTGAAAGCTTATATCTATCAATGTACGTTCTAGTCATAAATCAAACTTCATTAGAGAGTACCACAATCACATATATCAATGAATTTTAATGAAGAAAAGTATTGTTATGGTTTTTAGAGAGTACCACAAATCACATATATCAATGAATTTTAACTGAAGAAAAGTATTGTTATGGTTTATAAACATTTCTCTTATACAAAAGAGACATATTCAGATTACAAGAGTAGAGTTTTCTTCAAGTTGAAAGGACACCATCAGACTCTAGCTCAAAATGAATAGATATTAATATCACAAAACGTGATATAAGACCAAACTGTTTAGCATTACTCCCTAGAAAAACACATATTCCACTACCATGACAGACTCTCGCAAAATTTCAAGCAAATCCCTAGAAAAAAAGTGCTCAGGTAGCCTCCTGGATTATGGACCTGGTGCTGGTCTAAAAGACTGTCAAAATCATGTGAGGGAAGGGATAGGACAGCAGGCTGAATAACAATCCAATTGGGCCACAAAATTACAGCATTTCTTCTATGGATAAGCTTGCTGAAGAAACACAATGATGGCATTTAATCAGGGGCAGACCTTTATGGTGAAAGACATACTTTAGTTTTAGCTCTCATAAGCAATAAATGGAAGAATGATATAGCAACGTCTGATTCAAATACCACTGACAGGCTTCAATGGATAAAACAGAATGCATATCCGTAACACGCATTGTCAAGTGTTATAATAGAATTCCTAAATGGACACCCATGGGATAAAAACAAGTATAATGCACACACCCAGCTGATATTAAGGAAGTACAAATTTTCTCTTTCAACCGAGATGCAGTCCATCTCTTCGAAGTTTATCGAAAAGCGAATCTAAGATATACAATGCTTCTTCTTCTTCTAAACTAGGGTTAATGCAACAAAGCAAACCACAGATTATAACAAAATAATGATGCTTGGCAGGCAATCGATCTATAATCTTCCCAATTAAAGAGAAACCCACAAAAAAAAGGGTACCCAAATGGTAATAAAATCGAATTAATACGAGAAAACAAATGTGAAGTAAAGAAAGAAAGAAACTTCAAACCATCGGAGCAATTGTTTTTGGTGAGAGACGCAGAGGCAGAGCGAGAGTTTCTGTGATCGGAGGGAGGCTGCTTACCACCCATAATAAGCGGCTTATCCTTGCCGTTCATTGCCCTAGAAGTGGAGGGCGAGGATCGCTCGAGCTGCTTGTCCAAGGCGTCGTTGATCCGCTGCTTCCGATCAGCGGCGGGCCCCACCACCTCCGTCGCCTTAGACCCACCCAACCCTCGCTCTCTGTACATCTCTTCTTCTTCTTCTTCTTCTTCCGCCTCCTTCGATGCCAGATAATAATCTCACCAAAACATGGTAATTTTAATTTTACCCAAAAAAAAAAATGTAAAAAAAATTGAAAAATTGAAAATTGTAAAGGGAAAAAAAACCCCTAGGGCTGAGGAACTAGGGTTTTCAGTTTTGATTGCTAACTCATACCGCCGCTGGAATTCGTTCGTTCGGGTTAAGCTAACTCAACCTCTGAGAGGAGAGAGGAGAGAGGAGAGAGGAGAGAGGAGAGAGAGTATTAGTGCCGAAAACACAGAGAGAGAGAGAGGAGAGAAAGCTTATAGCTTATAATTATATTCTGAGGGTATTATGGGCATATAGTTGGATATTGATGGACAAACGACATGAGGGAGATCTAGAGTTTCGGTCGTTTTTAGATTCTGTAGAGAGGAGGGTAGGATTTGGACACGTGTCAAGCGACAGGGGAATGTTGGGTGAATCGTCATGTGGGGCCCAATCGAGTGGGAGCCAATAGGAGTAGAGTTGTCGCCAGAGATATTTTCGCTGATTTTAAAAAAAGAAAAATCATTTATAATACAAACTCTAGTATACATATAGGGATGAATTGCTGGGAAATTTTATTTGAACTTCTATAATTTATTCCTATAATTTAAGGTTCTTTAGATATAAACTCGTACAATTTGTAATTTTTAGATTAAAACTAATATATCTTTAAACATCCAATATAAATCTAAAATTCAAATATGTTGCCACATTAGAAAATAAATGACCTATTACTTCAGATAATTTACAACACATGCCACAACCCTTCTAACGTTTTCTCATACACAACCCTCCAATTTTGGCTTCAATCATGCCCACATAATATGGGCATTAAATTCTAATTACTCCTCTCGACGTTTTTTAGCCACTTATAATCATATGTATTTGAAATAAAATAATATTTTTATATTTTGTAGGTAAACCGTTTCATATATACTTTCGTCACATTATTATATGGTGTGTAACAAAATTTACGTATATTTATATGTAATATATAGGTAAATTAATGTTGTAGGTAAATTAATTTGCATGTATTAGTACATACTTTGGGCACGTTTTATTGTTACCATATGGATGTCTATGTAAAGTGATTTACCATATTGGTAATTAACTTTGAATAAAATAACATTTCTATATGTTGCCGATAAATTATTTTACATGTATTAATATATAAGGCACATTTTATTATTATTATATATGTGTGTGTAAAATAATTTGCCTATATTTATATGTAAAATATTATTATTATATATGTGTGTGTAAAATAATTTACCTATATTTATATGTAAAATAACTTTGAGGCAAATAACATTTCTTTATGTTGTAGGTAAATTATTCTCCATATATTAGCACAACTATTAGGCACATTTATTGATTCCCCACATATTTGTTAAATTACATCATATATATTGTGATCGAATCACAGTATGAATATTAATGCTTATTTCTCTTTTCAAGAATCATTAATCCACCTTTTAATCCGTATACAATTAATTGTATAGGTAAAAAATGTAATTAAGGGTATATTAGGCATTCAAAAAATGTACAATGGTGAAGTCAAACATAGTTAATTAATTTGCTTGTGTGGAGCCTAGTCAATGGGTTTTAATCATGTAAAAAAATTATGTCAGGTTTTATGTAACGAAAATTGAATTTCAAGGGCTAAAGTCATATTTCAGGTTAATTTGTTCTATACACTCATATCATTTTTAATTAAAGTATCAATATCTCTTTAAATCCAAATTTACTATCTAAACTATCCTCACAAACTCAATTCAATATGCAAATTTACACCCATTATTTTTACATTAGAAGTTACTCGGATCAGTTTCATGAAGATCCATGTTAATTAAATCTATTAATCTAGTTAAACACAGTGACATGAGACAATGAGAGTCAAACTATAAATTAACTAAATCCTAGCTAGTTTAACAAATGACGCATATTGCAGGTTTATTCCCTAGCTGGGAACAATACCGAATTATCGGACTGACACGCTTGATTCCCCTTGAGCCACCCTTTTGTCAGAGAAGCTCTACTCTTACAATAAGTAGGGTTCTGATCTCATATATAAGAGGTAGCAGTACTAGTGAAAGCATATGCAAACTCTCTTCTTCTCCTCCTCCACCTTTTCTTGTCTTTGACCTTGATAAGATGTTGCTTGTTGTTTTGGCAGCAGTAGTAGCATAAGTAGAAGTAGGTTTCTTACATGTGATGAGTAGTGTTGGAGATATGGTGGTGGTGGTGGGAGTCATGATGATGATAAAAAAGAAAAATCAGTTTTTATTTCTATGAATGTGTCTTAAGATTTTTGCCACAATAGAACGTCGAAGAAAGATTAGTGATGGTTAGTGTTTGATTATTAGGAGTGGGTTTATTGACAAATTTTACTTTTATAATTAAATTCATCTTATGCATGATGGTGATTATGCAATAGGATAATAAAGACATTTCATAATTAAAGTTTAAGTTGGGTGTAGATAGAGATTAAATGGGTTCAAATAAAATTTTTCAGTACAGATTAAGTCCTTAAACTATCACCTCAGTAAAAATTAGGTATCTGGATTATTTTTTCAATAAAATAAGTTCCTAAATTTATTAAAATTGGTAATTTCATCCCTACATTACATTCAAAGGTATCTTATCCAATTTTTTCTTAACTTAAGTCACTTTACACACTTTAGAGTGTACTATGGTTATTTTCCCACCTATAATCCCTTAACGTTTCATATGTGTTGTGAACTTAACGTCTAATTTACCCTCCAAAGTTAATTACATTATTTCTTATGTAAACTACCAATTTACCCTTCAAAGTTAATTCCCTGCACTATTTCTTTGTGAAAAAAAAGTAATTTAAAAAATAAATTATATGGTCCAAATTTAAATCCAACAGCTAAAGTAATTTAAAAAATAAATTATATGTTTCATATTCTTTCATAGTGTTCCACTAGTTTCATAGCATCGATTTAGTGATTTTCAATATTTATCGGAATCTAAACATTTTTAGGTTAAAATGTTCAGAAAATTAGATTAGGATAGTCTACATCATTCTTTTTTTTTTTTTTTTTTTAAGTTACTTTAAGAAAAAAAATTATCTTAAATTCATTTGTTAATAATCTCGGGCTAAAATTTAATCTATAAGGGTTATAGGAGAAAAACTGTTTCCAGGTAAAACGTAAATTTTATGGGTTAAAAATTTTAGATTTTAACCCAAGGGTTGGAGATGGAATTAAGAAAGAGTAAATAACATTTTACCACCTCAATTTTGGGTTGCATAACAAATTCATACCTTATCTTTTAAACATTACAATGTCATACGTCAACTTATGAATTTGTTGTAATGTTAGAACTCCTAAATTTTCTTAATTTGGGCGTTAAATGATGATTAGACAAATGTAGGGTCAACGTTTTTGCTGATATAGATGTTGAGTTTGAGCCATGTGGATAAAAGATGATAAAAAATTAATATTTATAAATATTTGAAAAATATTATAAAATAAAATATTTTCAATTTAGGCCTTTTCAAGGCAAAATGTGGATGACCCCTCGCACAGCTCGCCAAGGGTGAATGGCACTTTTGGTGATGTTGGTTGTTGGGTAATCTCTTGTTGCTTGGTATACTGCAAGATGAGTCTGAAGTTAGTTTGAAAGGTGCCTTTGTGGGGCCTTAGGTATAGGCCTTGAGGCTCACAATCAAAACTAACAAAGTGCAAGGCGTGCCATTGTTATCTTTAGGGGTGGGCACGGATCGGGCCCAAAATTGAAGGAACCAGATCGAACCTATTTGTAACACTCTGCTGATACTGAAAGGTCCTTCCCAAGTGGGACTCCACTTCCCAAAACCTCTAAGTTGAGCTCCCAATGGCAGAATTGTCTTCCATACTAACTATTATTCCTTGAAGGTTTTCAACTTCACTTTCTTGTTATAGGCTCGGCCGCGGCAACAGCTTTCTTCCCTTCTTGGATTTTGTTCAAGGCTTCAATTTGGGCTACATATAAATCTTTAACTCCTTGACACATAGCTTGAAGGTATTCCTTACTATGTAGACCAAACTGACTTTGGAGTCTGATATAACTAACACTGATTGACATAGGAAGCACAACATCATGTTCGATGGTTAAAGCATAAGAAGTAGTTCTAGTTTCTGCCTGCTTTGAGGTTCTATAAGCCCAAAAAGTGTCTCTTAACTTTTCATGCCATTTCTCTGGACTATCTGCCACCATTCTCTTAATAATATTTACTAAGATCTTGTTGTTGGGCCCCTGCTTGACCATTTAATTAGGGGTAATAAGGGTTAGATTGGATCATCTTTATCTTGAACTTGTTTGCAAATTCCTCTACTTCTTTCGAGATAAAAGATGGCCCATGGTCTGTAACAATTGTCTCAAGCACCCCATATCTATGTAAGATCTTGGTTCGAATGAACTTCTTGACAACAACTGAAGTGATAGTTTTCACAGCTGAAGCCTCTACCCATTTGGTAAAATAGTCTGTTACCACAATTATGAAAGTGCGCCCTTTACTACAAGCTGGGTAAATTTGCCCGATGAAGTCCATTGCCTACCCTCAGAAAGGCCAAGGCTTCACCATATGATTTAAGGGTACTGAAAACACATGTTGGAGGGGTCTATGTCTTTGACATTCTTCACACCCTCGGGCATAAGCTTTGCAATCCTTTTCCATCTCGGGCCATAAATAACCATATATTCTCAGCAACCACCTTATTTTGGTTCTAGCTTGATGTGCTCCACAGATACCTTTATGTACTTCAGCCATCACTCTCATCGATTCTTCTTGGCCTAAGCACTTTAACAAAAGTATATCTAGGGTTTTTCTTAGTCGAGTTTTATCCCATATAACAAACTTAGTTGCTTGTTGTCAATTCTTCTTACTTGTGGGAAAAAAAGAATCATTCAAGTATTGGATGATGGGTGTTCTCCAATCTTCTGTCTCAAGTTCTTTGGTCATTATATCTAGGCTGAACCCTCTCTCAAAGATAGAAGGGAGATTTCTCCTTTGTACTTCCACATCTATCTTGAACCTTCTTTCTTGGATTGGTGCTCTAGAATCTAATTGTGCCATCTCATTGGCAATTGAATTTAATTATTTGGGAATATGACAAACTGAAATCTCAGTGCCCCAATAACCCAATAGCTGAGTAGCGGCCAAGTAATAATATGCCACGGTGATGTGTTTGTACTTGTAGTCTCCATTTAGCTGGTTGATCACCAATTCTAAATCAC